TATGGGCCTATGTTTTGGATTTGTTCTGGAAACAGTATCAATAATGCAGAAATGTTTTCCTTATTGCTAAGCAGCACTTACCCAGAGTCAAGGCCTTTTCAGCTCCTCACCCCACCTGACCAGTGAGTAAGTAACCTGGGGGTGCACAAGAAGCAGGGAGGGGACACATCTGGGACAGCTGATCCCAACTGACCAAAGGGATAGCCCACACCATATGGCGTCATGATCAGCAGATAAAGCCAGGGAAGAGGGAGGAAGTGGGGGAAGTTCAGAGTGACGGCATTTGTCTTCCCAAGTAACCTTTACGCATGATGGAGCCCTGCTTTCCTGGGGGTGGCTGAACACCCGCCTGCTGATGGGAAGTGGTGAAGGAATTCCTGGTTATGCTTTGCTGGCATGAGCAGCTTTTGCTTTGCCTATTAAACTTTATCTTATCCCATGAGTTTTCTCACATTTACTCTTCCAGTTCTGCCCCCCCATCCCACCTGAAGGGAGTGAGTGAGTGGTTGTGTGGAGCTTAGTTGACAGCTGGGGTTAAACCATAACAAAGCTTAAGTCTTTGTGGCTCTTGAAACTGAGTGGAGATCACTATGGTGGGTAGGATCTCCTACATTGCTTTGTACCTCTCTCCAACAACAGATGGTTTTTGTCACCACTGGAAACAAGACACCAGATGATGAACTTTGACATGGCTTAAGGGTGATGAAGCTCTTGTGAATTAGGCAGACAACTAATGTGTCACAAATAAATGCTGGGGAAAAAAACAAAACCAAAACCAAATACAAAGTCATTTAAATACCAATCATTTGCCTGGTCTCAGTGGTACATTTGGTAGTCAAAGATTCATACTTAAGCATGAAACCAGTGATGTCTAATTCATAATGAAACATCTCCCTTGAAAAAAATAACTACTGTTCTGGAAAAACTGGAAAATATGAAATACTGTAGGGTCTGGGCTGTTTTGTTTTGGTTTGCTTTTAGTGAGAATAATAAATTTAACACAAATAACTCTAGGATAAAGGAAATCAAAAGAAAACTTGATATGGGAAAGGAACTTAGTAAACACAATGGCAGATGGAATTGCCTCAAAGAGACAATATTGTTACTTTACATGACACTTTCTATATAGTCTCCTCAAGTCATTTGTCCAAGAAAGAATAACAAATACATTTTTTGCCTTTTTTGGATTACATCAATATGATGCAGCTGCTGCTTCAGCCAGAGAAAGAATCATTCTCCCCAAGTAAGAAATAATTAAGTAAGGGTGAATGCCAAAAGTAGGATAGTTTTTAAATTGAAAGCTCTAAACATTATGGACAGCTCTGGATGTGGGATTATTTTTAGTATTTCAAGTAATGGTAAAAGGCTTTTTTGTATTCTGCAGTCAAACCTGTTTAAAACAGACTTTAATGATGCATATGCTCTGAATGTTTCTAATTAAAATTTTAACAAAACTCCAGGAGAAAGGCTTTGGCTGAAACAATGCAAGATTAAAGAAGAGAAAAAAACAAGCTAAATTTTATATTTCAAAATTGTGTGGAACACATACTATGCAATTTGGTAGCTAAAAATTAACATATTTTTTTACTTTATATGAAAATAAACAGAAGTCACTACAGAGGTGAAGGAAACAGGTGAAGGAAACATTTATTCCCTTAATGGTCTATGTATTTCTCAAGTAACACTGTTTGCTAAAAGAATTGAGGACAAAAGCTCAGGTAATATTTTGTAATTTTAATCTTTTGTGACCTACAGGATTCCTTCACTTTTGAATGCAGCTGAGTCATAAATAAAACCTCAGAAGAGAAAAAACAACGAAGTCCCCTATCATTTAAAGTGAAGGAACTTCCTCATTATTAACTTGAAGAAAACTGATGCTATCATAAGAAATGAGATGTTGTATTGCTCTCCAGAATACAAATCTACACGAACACTTTGCAACATTGACAATTTATGAAATCCACTGTGTTTTGAAAAAAATCAGGCTGGTACAAATCTCCAATGGAAATATCAGAGATACTAATATGGTCACTGATTAAATGTTACCATAGTCTTTTGTGATTAGCTAATTTTCACAAAGAAAAATATAGTGAAAGAAATGGTATAACAAATCCTGCACTAAGAATGGTTCATTCTTTACTTACACTAGCATTGACGTTATACATGCATATGGGAAAACTGGTCTTTGTAAGAGTGTGACTCTGATACTTTTCAGCTGGAAATAGATTAAAATAATAGATTTTTTGTGAAAATGCCCGATGCTTGTAATAAATCAGCCTGTCACATATATGCATAATGCTGTTAAAACCATGCATGCAAAAGAATTTATTTTTGCTCTTTCCAAATTTTAGTCAAAGAGCACATTTCTTTCTAATGTATTCATTGTCTGAAATTCCCCAAATATAGTGAAGCTATTGATGGCTTTCTTGCTTTTCATAGTGAATATTCAGTTGATTTCTCTTATGTTCAAAATCAGTCATTCTTTTAGATTTTAGAAATCCGTTGCCCAATTATTAAAAGACAGTGCCTTCAAAGCTCTAGTAAGTCCAATTGATTGTCTAATATGGAAGGCATTCATATAAAAATAAAAGGATGTTGAAATAACTAATGACAATCAAAAACAGTTTATGTAACTTTTATTTAACTCTGCCAAACAAACATGATATAAAAAATTTAGATGACAAAAAAAAAAAAAAAAGCTCAGTAATTATAATAGATGTTGGCAAGACATTTTACTTAAACTTTAGTGTCAGTGTTAAAAAACAGAATTTCACAAAATCAAAGTAGATCGTTAAAACTGTATGAAGACTAGTTACATGCAAAAATGAAAACAATTTGCCAATACATCAGCATTACTAAGGTACAATCTTGTTACAAAATTCCAAGTGTTACTTCATAGCAGCTCAAACTTTCTAGCAAATTTATGTGAGAAAATCAAAGTAGTCCGTGGCACAGTCTTTTGATGGAATAAATTTTCTAGACTGGTAAATAGTAATGATGACAGACCAGTTTTAAGAGTGGTCTGGATCACTTGGTAAGGTGATCTCCATTGAACAAAATATTAATTAACAGAAGTCAAACTCTATACATCCAATAATATAAACTCTCAATAGAGGAATATGACAACACTACAGAGAACTTAGTTGTACTAATAACCTAGGGAAAACTACCTGTCAGTTTATCGTTATAATTAGGGAAGAAACTGTTATCCTTGATATGTAAGCTGCAGAGTATTAAGAGAGAGTAGATAGAAATATCACTTCTGCACACATTAATAAAAATCCTGTGTCCCATTCTGATGTCCACATTGCAAAGAAAATGTGGAAATATCTCATGGAACAGCTTTATTAATTTTGTATACCTGGAGAGCATTTTTATAGTAAGGACAGTAGGAAGATCAACACATGTAATATATCCAGAAAGGGATTAAGAGGTGATTTGCCCTTGATCTACAAGTAACAACATGGGAAGTGACTCCTGGTAGCTCTGCTTATTATGCAAAGCTATTATCAAAACCTGATGAAAGCTGTCTGGTACATGGTTTAACCTGTTAGAGTTATTTACCAAACAGAACAATTAAGGATGTGCTGAATTCTACCTTGCTAGAAATCTGTACATCAAGACTGGGAACTTTCCAACAGATGTGCTAAAATTTAAAAAATGTTGTACGTTGAATGCAGGAACTGCTGGTTAAGCTTCTATGGCTTGTGTTATTAAGGGAGTCAGGCTATTAAAGATCATAATGTTCCTTCTCATTTCAAAATCTATTAAACTTATTTGATTGAGTCTTTTACTTCACTTTTATGCTTTCTAGAGGGAGAGAAAATGGTGGGGAAAAGCACAATGAACATCTAACCTTAGAATAGAAAAGCAAAATCAATTGATTCAGAAAGCCTCGTAATGGTTAACAGAATATTTTATTGAAATGGCCCTTGAGAATTTTACTGTGGAAGAGCATACGAGCTTGGAACTGCCTGTATCTTCTTATTAAAGGCTTTTAACTGATGGGATTGGCAATTAAATGAACAATTATTTGTACTAATTTAAATATGAAATGGCAATATATTTTCTCCTGGTTCAGGATGTGTTAAAGTGAGCTTACGAATGAACTAGCCTTGAAAATTATATCTGAACAAATTGTGCTTTCATCTAGAGTCAATGGCAAAGAACTAGATGCCCTATATATACTTCCCATATATCCTTTGCCTATGAAGAATTCAAGCTCCAAGAAAATGTTTGAAATGAAGCTCCTAAATTAGATATAAAAGTAACAAGCTATAAAAATTGCAATCTTGGCAACAAATTGGAAGAACCCTGGGGTGGGATTCATCTGACCATATTTTAGATGTGTATTTTAGGATGAAATTACTTGCATCACAGACTAGCTCATTTCTTTGTGTTGATTCCATAGAGATTCTAATGGGATGAAATCAGCTTGCAGATTCAGGTACCTAAACGTACATGTCTACACTTACATTAGGTGCCTAAACTCCCATTACAGCTCATGGAGATCCAATTAACACAGTCAGTGGAGCCTAGAGCAATTCACTTGCCTACAACTAGGTGTCCATTCAAGGGTTAGCTGAAACACTTTCCAGAGTCCATCACCTGCATTAACTGCAGTTGGATAACTATAGTGGGAGCCTAGACACATAGCTCATGTTTAGACACAAAAATATTAGTATTCTTAAAGACATAATATCATAAAGTTAGAAGCTTAAAATATATACATATATCGTCTGTAAGCACAACTCACTTCAGAAATAGTGTATACAACAATGAGTGTTTTGGAAGGCTGACAGGAAAGCAAGGAAGTGCACCATATTGAATCTCTGTTGTAGACTCTGTTTAAAATACAGTGCAAGGCCTCTCATCCACCCCAGCCCATTTATTCAGTGCAACAGAGTAGATCAACCTGCTGATCCCCAAAAAGTCCTGCATTCAGCCTGAGGGCTCCCTTCTGTGCAAGTGCAATGGTAAATATAACCAAGCCACCTCACCTGTTCCTCTTCACAGGGTGCGATATCTGAGGCTGAGGTTTGCAGAACATAAATTGTCATGAAAACACAAATCACCGTAGAGCGTCCGAACCTGCTGCAGTCCCCGGGAACCTGAGGAAAGGCTTCAGGAATGTAGGCAAGCTGGAGCTCCATAAATTGTGCCAGGTATAGCGTCATGAGCTAACGCAGCACTCCCCACCTGGGAAAGCCTGAAGGCATTATTGAGCTTCAGTGCGTATATACCCTCCTTTTGGTTCTCAGGGGTATAGCATGGAAATGCATTTTCTCTAATTTGCTCCTGAATCTCAGTACAGAAATAACAGTACATAAAACATATGCCGAGCTGAATTCTCAGATGTCCATTTCTAGGGAATTTCCCTCCCTTGAAACAACCTACCCACTCCTTTTTCAAAAAAGGGACTCATAAACCAATATGTACTTGGCTCAGAGCAAACAAGACTATCTTCAGTTTGCCTGACCTCAGTAAAACACTCCTGCCTTTTCCTGACAGTTTGACACATGGGGAAATTATGCAGACTGACACAAAGGTAGGCTGAAAACCAAGAGTAGGGGAAGTGAGCAAAAAGGGGACTAGCAAATTAGAATTAAGATTTGCTTTTATACATCTATTTTTCTTTTTACATACAGAAGGAAAAATATTCACAGAGCTACTTGAAAAGAAAAAAAAAAAAAAGAGAGAGAAGATTGTTATGAGATGTGCAAAGAATAAGCAACTTGAAACCAATGCAGAAGGAATATAGAATCTAGTGAAGGGATTCAAGAAAGGGGAGAAATAAAACAGCAGGAGAGCGACATAATGTTGACAGCTGTGCTTCTCTGGATCAGCCTGGTTTCCAATCATTGATTTTTCACTCGACAGCTGAGCAAGTTGGGGCATCTCTGGAAATTAGATTTGCTACAAAACCAATCACTGAGTCCCATAGAAATGTTTGCATTCTTTCTTTTCCCAATTACTTGATTTTTATGTCAGGTGAGAGAATAAGATCTTTTTTTGATCTTGACTTCAGTATTTCACTTAAGACTTCTGACGGGCTTTTTAGTTGAGTATAGCGTACCACATCTTTAAAAAAAAAAAAAAAAAAAAAAAAAAACTGACCAGTCTGTAGCTGTAACTGGGAAACATGAAGCAGCTGTTGAATCTTAGGGATAATTGCAGAATCTGAGAAGCTGGATAATCACTGGAACAATTTTCTCACTATTTAAACTAATCTATGTGTATTCAACAGTCTGGCCCTTTATGGGGTAAATACAGCCAGCCATGCAGATGGGAAAGCAGAGGAGGAAAGGCTGTCTAGCCATACAATTATTATGTGAAGGCATAGTTAAGCAAAGAATAAGATGAGTAAGTTTTGCTCAAAAATACCAGTTTCAGAGTAAATTCTTTGGGTTTGTTTTATTGCCTTTCTAAATTATTAGATGTTATTCATTTTAATATGTTGTAGAAATGCCCAAATGAATGGATCAGAAACTATTGCTCTCAGAAATGGAAATGGTAAATGTGTGTTTTCAATTGATACATAACGGATTTTCTACTCTGTGGAGGTATTTCTAGTTGAAATCCTCGTCCTAGTGAAGTGGAGAGGCAATTTGTCACTGACTTCAAGGTACCAAAGATTCGTGGTGGCACTTTGTTTTCACTGGTTTTGGCTCCATTCCTCCATCCATTGTACTGGGGCAGAGAGATAGTATATCATATATTCAGGGATGGAAAGCTCTACAAATGTGATGATAGCTGTATTATTATAAATAGCATTCACTGACTAAACAAATGTATGGGATTTTTTTACCAATGCAAGCTTCTTTAAAGTAAAGCATACAACTTATGAATATGTAAGCAATACCTTTGTATTCCTTTTTAAGTATCTGAGCAATTAGATAAAATGGTCTTAATAATTCTGAAAGGCAAAGTTAATGCATGACTTGGATGAGTATTTCATTCCCCTTGTTTCCCCCATTCCCTTCTCCCTGCACAGTGTATTTATGAGTACACCATATACTCCTTTAATAGAGAGAACAAATGTCAGGTTAAGAACAATCAAAATGAACAAGCAGTTTCCTTTAAAGTACCTTTATCAATATAATCTCTTTTATTTTACATTTATTTTTTTAAAGGTGATTTTTTTTTACTGCTTTTCCCATGTTTCTGATCCTTTATGTCTTGGACATCGCCACTGAGGCAAGAAATAAAACTAATTAAACCCATGTAGATCTGGATGAGAGACTGTTTAAATTCCTTAAAAGTGAATCCTTTTTAAAATTTACTAATCTGCTGTCAAGTGTCTGTAGGATAGCCCATGACATCCATACGTGCTGTAGGTGGGACAGGGTGAGGGAGGTGAGCCGTGGAGATGAACACACCTAGGCCAGACTCTGTGAAGCTGCTCTTAGGCTGGGCTATCTGAGCTCTTCCAGATGCTCCCACTGTTCAATGTCATTGCATCCCAGATAATTCAGCTATTGCTCTGAAAATCTATTGCTTGTTTCTGTGACTTAATTAAATAGAACTCGTACAGTGAGAGACAGCAAAAGGCATGTCCACTTAAGAGCCCTTGCGTCTATTTATCTAATACATGGGACTGTGAAATGTAAGTCCTGACTGCGAGTTAGAATTGGAATAGGGACTTCAACTTAAGCATCACTTATCATTGCCTTACCTTTTTTAGCTACACTAGCATATCTTTCTTACCTTCAGATCCTCCTTGAGAAATCTGAACAGTATAGATGAATATAGATGAAAATTAGGTCAGAAAATGTTTTCATTTGCTGTATTCATTGCTATGGTGCAATTCTGAAAGAAGGTTAGAGGTGGTAAAAACATCCAGTTATGGAGGCTGTGAACAGAAGCCAAAATAGACTCAGCTGGGGCTTTAGAATCTGTTAGAATTCTTCAGGCTTGCAAAAAATAAAAAAAAAAAAAAAAAAATCCCACCAAACCAACCAAGTTTGGCCATTGGCTTATCAATTGTATTCCTGAGATAATTTTTCTCTCACTTCCAGTGAGAAGGTTTATATAAAGAGAAAGTCTTCAGTTGCTGCCTCAAGCATTTACATGAAATAAGTATGTAGATTCCCTTCAGTTATTCTTATGTGGACTACAGTCACGCATTAAAAATGGCTTGAATAGTAAGTACCCTCTGCTGCCTAGGTAACATGGTGTTGATCATTAGAATAAGCTATCATTTCATGTAAGACAATAACATTTCTAGACTAACACACTTTCTGTTTCACATCTCACCCCAGAACAATTGGCAGGATCAATAACTGGCACAGCTGTTTCCATGAGGACTATAAATTCCTGGTTGCCCAATACTGGCATTGTCTTGGAAGTTTCCTTTTTCATGATGTACTGCCATAAAATGGAAAAGAATTCTCTCAGGAAGCATCAAACCATTATGCTAGAAAAAGATTTGTTGTTGTAACCCAAATCAACCAGATTCTGTTTTCTTTTGTATTGCTGGAGCAAATAATATTTAGCCAGATTCTCCTGAGTGGGGTATTTCTGAGGAATTTCATGCCAGTATCTTGAAGAGCCACAGAACAAAAAGTATAGCTTAATCTGCTTAATAACAAAAAATCCCCAAACAATCCCAAAATTGTTCCATGTTGCTCATGCAAAATACCCATGTTATTACTGTGTGCTCTTTTTGTATTTTGTGGTGGTTTGACCTTGGCTAAATGCCAGGTACCCACCAAGTCGCTCTATCACTTCCCACCCTTCCCCCTTTTTTCTCAACAGGGCAGAGAGGGGAAAGAAAATAAGATAGACCAACCCTTGTGGGTAAAACGAAAGCCATTTTAATATAAGCAAAGAGAATCCAAGGTCCGTGCGTGGAAGCAAAAATAAGCAAACAGATTTATTCTCCCCTTGCCGTGGAGAGGCGCTGTCGGGCCCTCTCAGGAGCAGGGCTCCCATACCGGAGTGGTTGCCTCGGAGGACCAAGGGTGACCCCAGCTCCTTCCTCCTTTCCCCAGCTTTATACTGAGCAGACGTCATGTGGTATGGAATACCCCGTGGGTCGGTTCGGGTCAGCTGTCCTGGCTGTGTTTCCCCCACTGCAGGGGGAAATGTCGGGAAGAGCCTTGGTGCTGTGTAAGCACCACTCAGCAGCAGCCACAGCCCCAGGGTGCTACCAACACCCTGCAGCTCCCGACATAAAACACAGCACCGTGAGGGCTGCCATAGGGGAAAACCAATTCCGGCTCAGCCAGACCCAGTACATATTAGTATCTTAATTGTATATCACAAAATTTGACATGAGTCCTCAGAAGTGAATGGGAATGGGAAATATATTTATGGATGACTATAAATGCACTGACATTTGCTATATTCTGTCAGTTTGAAGGCACTTTTTTTGTAGAGATAAAGTGGAAATAAGAAAAGAATAAACAGTAATGCTCACAGGCAGTCAGGTTAAATGAACCCATGCTAACAGTAGGTCACGAGAACAGACTCCTTATATTACTGTTCCTTTTCTAGGTCTTGACATATGTAAGGAAGACAAGAGGTGTATATAGCTGAAAATTATTTCTTCTTTCAGGCTTCTCTGGATATGATGTTATAAGGTCATTATTAGTTACAATAGAGGATAGCTAGATGACAACATTTGTTATGGTGCAATGTAAGACTACCGGACATCACAGATGACACTCCAACACTTACCCTGTTATTTAAAAGCAAGATTAATTTGGAAAATAGAAATGGAAGTACAATCCAAGAAACCTTTTCTGCACTTAAAATTTGGGTTTAGTTGTAGAATATATTTTTCTACAGGGTAGATTTTTAAAGAAATCACACTGCTCTATTTTAATCCTCAGAGAAAGACTGCATCTGAGAGCACTTCAGTCATTCCTGCACATGTATTTCAGATGGTGCAGCATGCTGCCTCTGGTGTGCCCTCCTGTACCACTGTATCCACCTCCTCCATGATCATTTTGGGATGATTCATTCTTCATCCTTGCACCGATGAATCACTGTGCCCACAATCCGCATGTGCATGTCAGAATTAAAGTTTAGAAACTGGGGGAACAAGCTGACAATGTTCAGAAGACATGGTATTACATAAATGTACTCTTGTACTATTTTCATCTGTTTCATTTTTGAAAGTCAACAATGAGCGAAACATGTTATTGAGTTTG